CATGAATTTACAAAAGCAATTTCCACTCAGCAATTAAAGTAATAAAAAGGGGGCCATAAAACAGGGAATTCATAAAGTATATTAATTATAGTTTAGGGTTATCATTATGAACATAAACAGCAGCTTGTTGAAGAATCGGAGTGCAGTGGAGCCTAGATATTGGCCAACTTGTGAAGTAGGTTTTCAGGGTTCGTGGAGCACAAGCCCCCAAAACATGTCTGGCTATTATTAGTTTGATTCTATGGTTCAATTATATGAACCATTTAGAAAGGGAGAATTTTGGGATATAGGATTGGAAGATTCAACATTGATAAAAAGCAGAGTGTAAAGTTTTTGGAAACTTGTGAACTGTGGAGAATGGGTAATTATAGGTCACTAATGAAATAGTTAATGAGTTTGTTGTTAAATGGTTTAATTTCTCTCGTAGCAATATTCACTCTTCGACAATTTAATGGATAAAATTATGCACTTTGGTGAATATAAATAATATATATATATATATATATATATATATATCTTAATGTGACAATATCAATTGATATTTGCACATATTCAAATATGCACATATGAGTGTGCTGAACATAAATTTGTACTTTGGTTAAAAAATAAGTTTACATCTGAATATGTATATTAGAAATCATATATATATATATATATATATATATGTATATATGTATGTATGTATGTATGCGCACGCCTGTACAATAAATATAGGCTTGAATACGTGTGAATGAGTATGTGCATATATGGCCTCCACGGGTTTAGTCACATGGTAGCAGCATTCCCTTGGGACATTTAGGTCCTGGGTTCGAAATTGCGCTATGGGGGACGCCTGTGCACTTATTGTGCCTTGGTCGGGTTGGGGCGCCGGACTCGGGTTTAAGGGGATTAGTCGGACCCCATAAGGATTGATCCGGACACCCCTGTGTCGATAAAAAAAGAAAAAGAAAAAAAAGAGTATGTGCATATATATTAGTAATCTTAGATGCACATACAAGATAAACATGCGACCTTACTTATAGTGTTAGTTTATTTACTAGTTATGAACAGTACTACTCCACTGTACATTTCCAAATTTCCCAAACTTATACCCTTCCTATAGACAATTAAAAAAAAAATCAATCTCTCACTGTTTGAATTACTATTGAATCTAATGTATGGGCATGTACTTTATTATTGAATTGTTATGTGGCAAGGAGAAAGCCGAAAGGGGACAAAAAGTAACAAAGATCTTTAACAGTAACCAAGAAAGCGGAATGTTGAATAAAGTATTATGCCCCCTGTCCCCATGGAAATCAATGAAAATTATATCTTATAATTGCTTACCAAAAAAGAAAAAAGGGCTTTTGTAGACTCGAAGAATTATAACCGTCTATGTAAATTTGTTTTTTAGTCCAATGGATAATACATTTCTTGCACGTTTTATTCTATAAGAACTTAAACTATTTACAAATACGTCTTCTGTAACGATTCCACGTCGGTTAGGGAAGAGAGTTCTGGTCTGCTTTAATAACCTGTCGTGGTATCCCGCATCTGACCGAGGCTTTTTGGAGGGGTGTGAGGCTTCATGACCTGCGGGTTTGGGTTTCTCATCTGTTGTGATTTCACTCACCTCCAGGAACAAAATTCATGACCCAATAGGAGCAGTTAACTGTGGGATAATATTGATCAGATCAGGTGTTAGATCTTTCATGATGTAATTTACTGAATTAGCATCCAGTAAAATATGTTGTCGGTAACAAATAATCAATTTTTTTTTGTTGATCCAACTATATATTGCGAAAATTTCTCAAAACGGTTGTTAGTGTTATTTATCATTTCTAATTGAAAAAAGTAAAGTATGTATCCCTATAAGAATACATTGTCGGCAGAGGAAATATATTATATGTTGAAGCCATTATTGATAGCAATGGCATGAACTGAAGTCAATGCTACAGATATAATGAATGTACTTCTGCATTAGTGCATATTGATCAAAAGCTTTGAAAAATTATTAATATATACAAAACTTTTAAATGGCACAATAACCAGCATTACATAGGCTTTTCAAACGAAGAGCTAACTAAACTGCTGACAACAATTGTGCGCAAATGCACAATTTTGTGTCCGGTTAATCACAAGAATCCCCCTTAAAGTTTGGTAAGTTTTGCAGTTTAACCCTTAACATTTTTTTCCCTCATTTTATCTCCTCTGTCAGTCCACCACAGCAAATGGACCATTAAAACATTGCAGTTGACGAAAATATCCCACTTTTTAATCGTTAAAATTTCTGAAGAAAATGGCACTCTTCATGTTCTATAAAGAAGCGATGCCCAGAAGTTTTTTTAATATATTTTGAGCATTCATCATATCAAAAATATTTCTCTCCATCAACCCTAACATTTGCAACTAAAATAGAAAAAAAAAGTTCCAAGTTTCTTCAAATACATTTATTTGCGTTCTTCTAAATGTTTTTCATCACGTCAATTTGAAGAACCAAACCTAAAAACTTGTGGATGTGGAAAAATGGCACCTTGAGAGAGAAGATCTTCGACATCAAAAAATCCCGGAAGGAGATTTCTTAGATATTCAAGTTATAAGGTTTGATTTGTATGATAGACTAATTATTGTTTTGTACTTCTTAGAATAATAATTTGAAATATGAAAATTTTTTTGTGTAGAATCATTATGCATGTAATTATTTCAAAGCGATAGGTTCGAAATTTTACGCAATGGAACAGAAATATGTGTTATGTATGACCCAAACCTATGGGTACTTATGTATGTTCATTATATTTTTAGTTTTAGGGATAGCAATTGTTCTTTAAATATCAACTATCAACACCGTTACAAAGTGTTTATTTTGACTACTAGTTAATAGGACAAAGTGAAAAAAAAAACATATTAGGGGATAAACTGCAAAATACACCAAACCTTAGGAGGACTTCTTAAGATTAGCCCTTTTGTATCGGAAGGATCTCATGCGCCCAATATACGCTTGGATGCTTCCCTGTGTTTTCGCATGTACAGTTTGGTTATTTGCTTTGGTGCCCGTGGATTCATGCTTAGAATTTTGGAATACGATTTTGCCCTTAGGCCCCTTACCCATTCATTAACAGTTTGGATTAATGTTTATAGGGGATTTTTTATTTCACACTAACGGGTACAGAAACATACCACATTTGTAAAGAGACATTCGAAATTTAAATAAAGATTATTTGATATTAATGGACACATTCCACATGGGAGTGTATATTAAAATTTCACTCGATGTTAAGGGCCAGTTTGGAGTTGCAGTGACTTATTAAACGTGCTTTTTCAATAGAGTTTTTAATAAAAGTGCTTATTAAATGTTTAGGTACTTTTAAGTATATTATTTGGGTGCATAATTCAATAAATACTTATTATATTGAATAATGTATAATTTAAAATTTTTAAATGTATTTATCTCTTTATTTAGTTCATAATATAGGATAAAATGGTTAAATTTAATTATTTATTCTTAAAACACAAATGCCATTCAAAAAGTAGCAAATTTGAGTTTTTGTTAAAAGTGTTTTAATACCAAAACACTATTCCTAATTTTATCTGATGACATTCACCAAAGACGTCAAAAGTACTTTTGGCACCCAAAAGTGCTTGTCACTGAAAGTACCACAATGCAAATGGGTTCTAAATTCTAGTCCATTGTGTGAAAACCTAAGAGTATTTATAAGGATAGTTCAGAAAATTCATACTTTCTTTTTTGACAATTTCTAGCAAGGAAAAAAAAAATGAGATTTAAGCCCCGAGAGAGGAACTTGTTACAAAACTCTAAATCCTAGGGTCTCAAACTTATTTCCAGTATTTATAAAGATTATTTATGACAATAGTTTGGAAAAGTCATACTTATTTCCAGTATTTTTTAAAAATCATTGTCATTGTGATGACAGTACTCTTTTTTTCATGCTAGATTAGATTTTTTTTTTCTTTTTAAGATAGAGACCATAGAACTGCTCTAATTGAAGATCACAAATTACGAAACTCTAGGATGGATTAGGTAAGATATCCTCCGCTTAAATAAGTTTCTTACCAATCCTATCAGGTAACACATGGTTTAATTTCTACCACTAAACCCTCTTGCTTGCCTATTCGAACTAACTATTGGGTACATCTACCCGCTACTTAAACCTAGTGAAACCACGATACAAACATCTAAAAAGTTCAAAAACCATAGAAACTAACTATAGTAAATTAAAATTTATGATTAACTTTTTATACACTAATAGTGTAGTAATTTTTTTATACTAGTAGTTATGGATGCATGCCACATGTGCATGATTTGAATTATAAATTTGAATTCATATTATGTAGTATTGATCTAAATATGTTAGTGTAAAAAAAAATTATATATTGACAGTGTATAAAAAATTTAATAAAAAATTTTGTAAATCAAAATTAAAACATTTCATTAGTGTAAAAATAGAAGTTAAAACCATGGTTTAATAATCCTATCACATATAGTTTAGAAAGTGTATCACTACAAAGGTCGTGTCCAAGTGATCAAAATGGAATAAGAACAAAATGATCTAAGAATGCTTTAGAAGATAAAATCCTTTATTCTTTTTTTGATCTCCGATCATAAAATTGTGCATGCATAAGCACGCACTTCTCAGTACCAAATCCTAATAGATAACTTGGAATTGGGCTATCCATGCCCGTTTTACCCTACCATTTGCCATTCCTAGGAAACTCCACATCTCATGAAGAAAACGCGCATCAATGGAGGGTAACCTTAGCATTGCACACGTCCAAAGTTCCACTAAACCAAAAGTAAGATTCCTTGAAAGTACCTTTTTTTTTCAGGTGCTGCTGCTGTTTTCACCTTCCTACTCGTTTGTACGCTAGAATTACACACTCCAACAGTGCACTTCCTAACTCCCTCTCTGCAATTGCTTTGACATTTTGACACTGATCTCTCCAACCCAAGATCAGCATATCTCCAGCAGTTTACTGATCTTCTTGATCACAATTTAAAAGCAATGGAGGATATGTATGGATTGCCCTCCAGTAATACTACTAGTACAGAAGGCAACCCTTCTACTTGTCAGCCTCCAATTGCTGCATCTCTGAAAGAAGACGATTTTGAGGCTTTTGGGGCTTCATGGTCTTCAGCTCTATTCGATTCATCAGCATCACCAGATGCTGCAGGAGCTATTACTTGTAATTCCATTAAGAGGAGTAGTACTACTGGAACTGGATCATCCTCTTCGGAGGAAGAGAGCTTTAGTGCAATGAAAGCAAGCATCTCTTCCCATCCATTGTATACTAAACTTCTCGAGGCTTATATCGATTGCCAGAAGGTATAAAGTGTAAACTTTGCACATATGAACTAGATGTTCCTCGACAGAAGCCTTTATCACTTGAAGACTGGAATCTCTATGTGTTTATGATTGCTGCAGCTTTCACACTGTTTTTAGGTGTTTAATGAACTTCTGTGCGATTATTCTGGATGAACAAATAAAGAAGAAAAGAGTTTGAGACATCATGTTAACTAATTTTCTGGTACTTTGTAGCAAAGATGGAGTTTCAGACCCAATAAGATGATCAATTCGCTGCAGGTCATTTAGGGTTTCTTTTTCTTTTGTTTATGGATCTTAGCTTGGGAAGACCGAATGGAGTTGTGCAACTAAAACAACCTACTTCTTCCTTGTCTCATGCTTCTTATTTTGTATATTGCTCTAACTTTATGCTGAGAGACTTTGTATTCTTTTTTCTTTTTTTTATTAAATTACAAATCAATCTTGAAATTCTTCTGCGCATGTGGATTCATAGAATTATGTCGTTTTACTTTCCAGGTCGGAGCACCACCTGAGATAGCCATGTTTTTGGATGAAATACTCCAAGAAAATCAACTTTCCATAAACAACACAGGAACATATTGCGGCAATGACGATCCTGAGCTTGATGAGTTCATGGTCTTCTTTTTTCTCGTTTTACTACTTATTTGCCTTAGTAATCAGTCTAGTTCTCGAGTTTGCTACCTTACTATTGATCTTGTATTATTTTTCTTTTTTTCATGATGAAGGAAACTTACTGTGATGTGTTGAGCAAGTATAAGCTGGATCTTGAAAAGCCTTATGATGAAGCAAGCAAGTTCTTAACCAATATGGAAAGTCAGCTGAGCAATCTCTGCAGCAATACTCCCAGAATGCTTGGTTACTTTCTCTCCTTCACTCTCAGTCTTATACTACTAAAAAAGTATTATTACATGCTATGCTTTTCTCGGAAAATGAACAGAGTTGTAAAAATTGTGTTCATTGGTTTTTGTGCTTATGGATTCTTTAAAATAAGTCTTTCATGCATACTTATTAGAGCACACATTGGATAGGAAGAGTAGAAAATTTTGTTGTCAGGTCCGGAAATCTAAGAAAAAATCCAAAGAACTAGATGGAGAATTTACATAAGAAAGGATTAAGAGGATTGCAAATAACATTCATGTACCATCAAACAGTAATTTCTAGTTCCAAAAACCCTAGAAACTAGTAGCACCATTTTTTTTTAAAGCAAGTAGTGGTTCTGTTTGGTTATGTATAGAAAACAGCATGGAAGCTTGCTGTGTTTATGGCTTAAATAATGCTAGTGGCTGTTTCATAAGGTTTTGGTTGTACCTTATATTCTTGTTTGCTGGAAAGAGTGGAAGTTGGAAAACAATTTGTAGTGCTATAGAGCATTTACTAACTGGCAAACCTTGAGCGTCATAAACCTGGCAAAGAGTTCATTGGCTAGAAGAGTTTGTGCACTTGTGGGGTTGAGGGATGGTACAGTGGCACTGGAAGGAAACCATCTTTCTCTTTTGCAGTGTTGTATTTCTGTACTAGTTCTTCGGGGTCACTTCTTCTTGCGGAGATCAAATTGAAAGAAATAAACTCCAACTTCTTGGTGGACAATTTTTCATGTTTCAGAGTCTTAATCATAAATAGACTGCTTAGTTATAGCACTTAGGCCTAATCCTTGATGTGGAAGGAAACCTTTCTATCCTGGCATCAAATGTACGCGGAGAAGTAGCCTATTTTCTACAGCTTTTCTGTAAGAGGAAAGGTCAAAAAACCTCAAAGAATCAACTATTATTCATTACAAATTAAAACTAATGCAATTTCAATTTTTTGTGATATATGGGCTTTTTTCATACTCTCAAAGAGAGAGAAGGAAGAGAAAAAAGGGGTTCACATTTAAGCCCTTCATCTCCTCTCTCAATATATACTTCTTTTAAGTATTCCTCCAATCCCACTACTGTTATTGCCCTTGTCAGAATTCAGTCAAACTTGTTAGCGTTCGCATAATCGTATTGCACATACTCTTTTAACTTACAAAATTTCGAATTTTAAAGCCTAGTTTTGAATGAAAATTTTGACATGGTACCATCAAATTTTTGAAAAATTAAGTAAATCAATATAAATTTTTTAGTTGCTAAACAAGTCCCATTGGCACAAATAACGATGTTAATGGCATGGCCAGACTGTAACTTGTATTCTGTTCCAAAAATTGATTTTCAATAACGTATTGGATAATGATGAAAGTGTTCAAAAACATGAACGGATTCTGTATTCAGATACTCTTCCTCCTATTTGACAGTTAACTAAGATCTGGTTAGCCATGTAAGTATTTTAGGATGCTTAGCAGCTTTTCAATGAGAATATGTAAAAGGTATGAAGATCATCTTATCTTCTAATGCAGCAATAATATGTTAGGCTGTATTAAGGTTTTAATATGTAGGTGATCTCCGCCGGCCAAAGTGAAATCAGAAAAAAGTGACTCTTGGAAACAGTTGGGCACGATTTCTAATGTGGGAACTAAAACCTAAACTGAAAGCAAATCTCTTTTCTAAGTTTTAAATTCATTTTCATTGCCATCAAGTACTTAGGAGTAAAGTTCACAGCCATTGGAATCTTGCTTAAGGGCACGTGAGATGATGGCAAAATCAAAGTAACAAAGAGTTGTGTTTCCAAAATATCACGTTCATATGTGTTGGCTGTATGATTTTTGTCTTCCAATGGCATCCATTCCTCCTTCTGATTGCTTGGGCTTTTTTTTTCTTTTAGGTTGTATCACTTTGTTTCTAGTAAAATAATGTTGCCAAATGTACTTGGCTTGCTGACATAGTATGGCCTCAAACTACATTTAGCATCATCTGAGAGAAAAGCTGCTTTCAGGTGCATTCTCCCTAGATATATTCAAAGTTTGGCTGCAATGTTTTAGTTCATGTTTGATTGACTGATTCCACTCTATAGTACTTTTAGGGCATTTGTGTATACTATATTCTGACAATTTCTAACACCTCGAAGTTCATTTGTGATAAATATGTCCCCAAGTTATGTTTTAATCAATTGATATAAGGTCCAAAGCAACTTTCGTTTTTGGTTAGCTGCTTGTTCAGGAATAGTTATTTTTTCTTTTTTTTTTTTATGGATATAATAATTAATTTTTTGGGGCAATTTTATTATCTTTAAACGAGGGAAAGGTATTCTTTGACCAAAATAAAAAACTAGTAGTTCTTTAGGCTGTTCATTTTATCATGTGTAGTCCATACTTAACCTTAAATTGACATTTGATTCCCGCTCTTTCTATTTTAGTTGGCTCACATTTGGTAAGACAAATCTAACTTTTTGTAAATTGATCATACTAAAGATTCCTTTCTTACGATTCTCCAATCATAAAATCTATATTTGTATATCAAAATATATTCAGGTCTTCGACATGTTATTTTGGTTTGTGATAAGTTGAATTTTTATTTTTATCCTATTGGAATGCTTCATAGAAAAGGCATAAGAGGAAATGTATTATATCTCTATTTCAGTTGTCTAGAGGATTTTTACGTTTTCCACCTTTTTAACTCGAACATCTTCAGTATCCCAATATTTTAAACTTCCATTTATTTTTTGGCTTTATTGATTCTTTTCTGAATTCTCTGAGAAATTCATAGTTAGTGGTTTTTGTGATATAGTTTGGGTGAAAAAAGAAACCTATACATGTTAGTGCTCTATTTATTGTGTTTCTAATTGTTTTCTTGTTTGGGCTCAAAAACCGATGGAAATGAAGTGCAATGGGTCTTTCTTTTTAAATTTTTTCTAACAAGAAAAGTGTGGGACTTAAGAAACAGGGAGGAGGCAGAAAAATTCAAATCCAGAACCTCTAATTTCTAAGATGACAGTGAATTAGTTGTATTCTTGATGGTGAAATTAGGTGCAAGATCGGCAACCACAATATTCTTTAGGTTGTTTTTGTTTTTGTACGATACGGACAAGATAATTAATTTGACAAACAGTTAAACTTAGATGCAGATAGCACGAATTAAATATAAAACAGAAAAAGAAAGATAAGAACATCTGGCTGCTTTCATTGTGTTCGTTGTTGATTAACTTTAGCTAACTAAAAGCTAGACATTTTTTGTACTATTATTCATTAATGAAATTGACTATTAATTAGTCTAGGTCTTTCAACTCCAAAACTTTAGTGTAGCCTGATAGTCTTAGAACCTTTTAAGCAAAGAAGGTTAATTAGACTACCTATAAGATCATTTTGAAGTGCTATAATACTATTAAATACCATTTCTGCAATTATTTATGATGAATTTCTAATAGTTTACAGTTTCCATATTTGGTTAAAGTTAATTAAATGTTATCTATGTATCATTTGAAAATTTTTGTACAAAATTCCAGGATAGTATCATTCCGAATCCAATGAAATTTATACCCCCTTAATATTTGTGAAAATTATAAACTCGATCCCCTCCCCCCAATCCAAAAAAGCTGTGCACATTGTTTAATTGATGGTCCTGTTTATCTTAAATTTGTGCATATATAATTATTTTATGATTCTAAAACACCAGGCATTTCTGCTTTATTTGTCATTATTAATACATTGTTGTGTTATTAGATGAGGCAGCAAGGTCTTCAAATGAAGATGGAAGCAGTGGTGAAGTGGAGGTTCTACAGGAGAAAAGCTCTAATGGGCCAGCTGAAGTCAATAATGAAATTAAGGAAAAGCTCTTAGTGAAATATAGTGGTTATATAAGTTCCCTAAGGCATGAGTTCTGCAGAAAGAAGAAAAAGGGAAAGCTACCTAAAGAAGCTAGGCAAATACTGCTGAATTGGTGGAAAGTTCACTGTGATTGGCCTTACCCTACGGTAAATATTTCTAAATTTTAATACATTAATATGATGATTAAACCCTTAATACAATATTTATTAATGTTACTTCTATAAGAGCAAGTTGGTTAAAAAAAAAAAAACCATAACAATTTGAATTAAGCATATTTTCTTAAGGTTTTATCTATTTGGTGCCCTAAGTCTTAAGATTAGCAATCAAGAAGTGGAAAATGCCTCAACTATTAGACTTTTAAATTAAATTATGACCCACACCCTGAATTATGTAGATTGTCTCAAAAAGATTTACCCTTTGCAAGAAAAAGTGACGACAATGAATTGACGAACCCTTATATAAATTTGTAAGTAACCATTAGCTAGGCAAATTCAATTCAGAGACATATGCATGCGATTATATTTGCATGTGTATACATTGATACAAACACATGTACACACACCCTCAATCTGCACAGACAGACAAATATGTACTTATAGATACATATAAATATACGTATAGGAAATATTACTTGCACGAAACTTGTTTAGTTTCTCAAGCACCTCTCTGATTTTTATTTGCTCAAAGGCTAAGTAACTCATTAAGTCTGCCTTAAGCATGTTAGTGGGTAGTGCATTCGTGTTAGATCCAAACCTAGATCATCATGGTTTGAAAAAAAAAAAAAAAAAACCCTAATCCTCAAGAGTCTAGGTACCTACCTATTGGACATTCACGGGCATTTCTATGATGCGCAATTATCAATTGGAATTTTAAAAGCAATAATAAATATGGATTTCGAAGATATTAGGCATTGATAACCAAATTACCATTTTCAAGTTGCAAAATTGACATTCAAGAATAGTGCGTGGAAGAATTATGGACAAAAGTGTTGAAATAATATTAACTAACTATATCTCTTGAAATATTATCAACTAATTATGGGTCTGGATATGGGCGTGAATTATAGAAACTCAAACCCTATCGAGGACCATTTTTCTCTTGTAAGGTGTAGGTCTAATAGTGTTTGGTTAATATAAAAATTTAGACCGAGACCAATTGAGAATGTGATGATCTAGATTGAGATTAGGTAAAATTTGAGCCGTTAACATGCATAGTCTACCTCCTCATTTTCTCCTAACCAAGAAATGTTGGGCTGTTAGTCTTCTTGATTAACAAAACTTTAAAGGATATTCGATAAACTAAAAAGGCTGTGCAAATATTAATTTTCATTATACAAACTTGTAATTGACTACAAGAGAAAAAGCCATTTGCCAATTCATGTGAAGTTTAAATGACTAAAAGCTGGACGCACATTGGATAGTTATCAGCATAATTCAATTATGCCACATTTTGTAGTAATTCCTCAGATAAAGTTAGAAAAACAATAACAAGGAATCACTGTGAAGAACCCCTAAGTTCTAACTGCTTAATTTTCGACCTTTGATTCTCACACCTATTCCCCACACACAAACAGAAGTATCTGTGTCATCATATACCATTACTATGATGTATATTTTCCTGTATATTTTGTGTAAAATATGTGGAAAACTCATGATTGTATTAGTCGTGCAGGAAGCAGACAAGATTGCTTTGGCTTCGTCAACAGGTTTAGACCAAAAGCAGATAAACAATTGGTTCATAAACCAAAGAAAGCGCCATTGGAAGCCACCCGAAAACCTACAATATCCATCTCTTATTAACAACAATGAGTATGGATCATTTTTCCTGAATGTTGACTAATGCTAAACAGGAGCCATATAGATTAGCAATCTATGCATATTGTTAAACTTGGTCTTTATCCCATGGAATACTTTATAATTTTTCTTTTCTCTTTTGGGCATATCGCTCTTTTTGATCATTGTTATCTTATTTGCAATTAATTGATGGAAAAACCAATATCACTGGACTAGGGTTTTTCCATTGTAAGGTTTCGGGTTGAAATTCTGTACCTAACAGTTGGGATGGGTGCAAAGAATAAAATGATAACAATAACGATGATGATAAAGTTAACAGAAACACCAAATGGCATACACTATTTTTTCTTTTTATTTATTAATTATATTGTCTGTGTCCATCTGGGAGTATACCATTTTAATTAATTAGTCTGATTAGTCCAAGTCCAGCCACTCATTTCCATTAATAAAATCTCTACTGAGAAAAGGCAAGGCATATGAGGGAGTGAAATATTTTGCCCATGCCACCCGATGACTCCTGTCTGCTCCTTTTCCAGTGTTCTTGTACTCTCCAAAAATTAGAGTCCTATCAAAAAAAAAAAAAAACAAAAACCTTTGTTAGAATAATGGTTAGAATGCATGAATGCCTCTAGTACATTAGATCAAACTTTGTTAAAATAATGTGAATTTCACTTTGTTACAATGCAAAAGGTTTAGACACTTGGCACCTTGATTTATTCAATTTGTGAAAACTAACTTAGGATCTATGTGTTTCGAAAGTATGCACATTAATGCAACTTCTTAAACAGAATGAGGGCATTATTGTACTAAGAATGCCTATTTTGTCACTAGATCACAATCAAAGTAATATCTTGCTAGAGAAGAAGCAGCTTGTCCAAGTGCACAAGTTCCCTTTTAGATATTTCTTTTTGGATTAATGCTTTTTACCCTTTTAGATATTTCTTTTTGGATTAGTCTTTTATGCACTATTAGCGTTGGATGAATGATAACTAATGAAATTTAAACTTGAAATTCAAATTTTAAATATGTATCATATATCTAACCATGATAGTTTATACAGAATCAGTGCATATAAGATTTACTCTTTTTTTCCTCTTCTTTTCTTATAGTTATATAAAAATTTTACTATACCATATTTTTATTAAATGTGTATGCCTAATAAAAAGGAAAACTATGACTAAAAACTGTTTCAGAGTTTTTCGTAAACATGTTTACTAAAATAATTTAGGTAAAATTCTATTACAGACCTGGTCTGAGTGTACTACAGTTTACCTAACAGATGGACCTCAGGTGAACCCACTGTAGGACCAAACATTTCCCTGAAAATCTATGTCAGAGTTTTCTCTAATTCGATGCCATTTTATTGATTCTTGGATTTATTAGACAGGGCATGGAATTAAGAAAATTATTTAACGTGCTTACTTTTGTTTAGCCGGATCATTCCCATCACTCCAACCTCGGGGATCTATGACATTGTCCAAATTGGTATATGAATATACTACTCGAGAATACTTTCCAGAAGCTGTAGACAAGAGAAGTTTGCCAGTTCCAGTAACGTTACTTCCCAGGAAAGCAAATCCTCCAGTTGTATTAAGATTATCCCTGTTGTTAACAGCTATCACTCCTTTACCCTTGGCTATTGAATTGATGGTTGACTCCTATTTGAGCAAATGAACAAATTGCAAGAAACTTTAGGGTTAGCAAATGGACATAAAATTCTCAAGACAAAACGCAGATATAACACTAATATAGCATTTCTTTCCTGTCATTTTTTCATGCTTTTTGCAGCATAATCTAATTTGGTTTAATCTCAACAAACAATATCCTATCTCGAGTACATCTAAAGTTTTGAATCGACACATGCTGAATAATATTAACTCATTATATACTTACACTACCCATCCAACTATATTTCTGGTGCCATAGTTTTAAAAGTATGCACCAGAGGAAAGTCGAATAGAAACTATAATAAGGAAGATAAGGAAATAATGAAAATCAAATACTTAACTTCATAGTGATGTAGCACTTCCCACTATGATCTTATCAGATCCTTGGATGAATGATTCAAGATGAAGCTACAGCAGTGAGGATGGCACCAATGAAAGCAAGACAGCTGAGATGGCAAAGGATCAAAGTCATAATTGCAAACAAACATCTCACAGCCTTGCTAAATTCTGGGACAGGAGATAACCCAAACATGGTCACGCTGTGGAAGACATAATTGCTCCAGCTAAACTATTTCAAATGTGCTCCTTTGCTGTAAGGAATAGTAGTAGTATGACTCAGTGTAATCAAATTAGCCTTTATGCTCTAAGCATATACATGGATGAGGAGATAACTTTTATTGCTCCTTAAGTGTCATGGTACACTTTGTAAAGTTGCTTGAGCTGTTGCTCAAATATTGTAAAGTTCAGTTTATATAAAATTCCATCTAACGTTTCCGAAAAAAAAAAAGATTCAAGAAAATAGTGTTTTCCATTGTCAACCAAAACTGTGCCCTGGTTTCCTAGTAGTCGTACTTTATAGTAAAAATTTTTGTCTCCTGTTATTTTGAGTGCAGCAACTCCTTTATTCCGAGTGTTTCCAGGGGGAGAAACACCTGTGTTCTACAATTTCATGAAAAAAGAATTAGTGTCACTATGCGATGAATTCATAGAAAACAAGACATGTATTTGTAACTGAATTTTTTTTAAGAGGTTCTAAGTTCAAAACCTCCCTTCTATTTCTCTTGCCTCTTAAATTCCAGTACTATCCTGCTGAAAAATAAAAAGATAATAAAGAAGAAATTTTCTATGCTATGCCCTCAAACATTAAGAAAAACAAATGTTATAAACTTACAATAAGATTTGACACTTACAAAATTCTTTGATTATCACTTACCATTGGACTATACATAACATTTAAAAAAAAAAAATTGCACTTTCATAGAAAAAGTGACACAAAGCTAACTTTAATCGTGCAGCATATAATGTTGAGAGCAAAAAAGAAATCTGCTCAACCTTTTCTTCCAATCAATAATTTTACAATACCCAAATGGCATGTAAGAAACTTTAATTAGTTTTGTACTTTTAGTGCTAAGGCCCAAGGCTGTATACCTCAAATGTGATGTTGGTGGCAACGACGTAACTGGCTTCAACGATGACTGTTACTGAGTCGTTCCAAGTAGTAACTGTTTTAGATTGTCCATCATCGACTCCAATTAAAGTAATATAGTCCTTATATTTCGGAATAGTCACCTTTTCCCTACACAAAAATAGTAATTAATGGGTGGATATTCCAAAAAACACGTTTTGTGACATACAATTTAAATGAAATTATTCACGTAGCACTTTGAAATTATTGTTAATTTCAAATATTTTTAGAATCAATATTCACTTATTTTTCTAGGTAGATATGATCCGGGAAATTAGCAGGGGCGGAGGGAAGGGGGGCGCCAAGGGGGCAACCGTCCCCCCTCCAATTGTTAAAAAAAAATTTCTAAGTAAAAAAATTCTTATTATATTGTTTTGCCCCCCCCCAAATATTGATAAAAAATTTCACTTTGCCCCCCTCTCAAGGACCCAAACAATAATGTTTGAAAGTTATTTGGACTTGGTCCAAATAACAGAGACTCGCCCCCCCTAATTGCAATTCCTAGCTCCGCTACTGGAAATTAGGGATGAATTTCCCGAATAGTATCCTCGTTAATACAGCTATATTACACCTAATTCATCATTTAGAGACACATTGCTCACATTTACTACTATCTTGCACTTAGATACTTTCTCAATATAATTTCATTTCTTTTCACAAGTTAACCCCTTAATATTGAAACAAGAAGTATTTTTTTAAAAAAAAAATGTAACGAATGGTTTAGATCAAGCCAAACTAGACCCGATTTAAACCATAAATTGCATGCCGTGATTGTCACCAGCAAGCGTGACAGCACTACAGAATCTACTTAACGAGTATTCATGGAGTATCCGATAGACAAATCCATAAAAAAAAATTATTGAAGGAGTTGTCACTGCATGTGCATACCTATAGATTCCTGGATGTATGTAAATTTTGAATCTGTTAATATTGTCTGTTCGAACCTTGTCGATTGCTGCTTGCACTGAAGTAAAGTTGCCCTTTCCATTCAGATCAACTTCCACAAACGGTTCATGATGAGACTGGGACCATGTTATAAGCTCAGGTCCAACACCACCCCTAGAAGCATTAACTGCAACATTACGCCAAAAGAAAAACATCAAGAAAACCACAGCAAAGGTACTAGAGTTTCTCAAGTCCATGATCTGGGATTTGTCTGGTAAGGAAGCAGAAAAGGGTCTGAATTTGTAGGAGGTTACAAGAAAAAGAAATAGCCATCAAGTAGATATTTATATACGTATATTCATGTGTGTTAAGAAAAATTGGAATATTAATGGGAGAAAAATAGCATGAATAGAGTTTGGCTTTTAATTAATTATTAAGAATTTTGAAGGAAGTCTTCTTGTGGTAAGTTGTGTACTTAATTATGGCATTGTAAACAAATTTATGCCAACATTATTTTAGTTTGTCTTTCTTATATACTCTAAAATGTATTTTACCACCATACGTACTTATCCATGGATAGTTACCAGTTCAATTTCAAATACAGTTTGTTGTAAATTTATGCGGTCCTTCAGTTTTTGTTTCGTGCGAGCCAATCTCTACCTCATTTTTTTATCATACCGTACGTGGATGTAAATTAAAGTAGGTAGGTTTTTAATCTTCAAATCTAACAAAAAATACAGAAAAATGAAATAAAACAGAAATAACGTTTCGAATATTATTATACACATGTTTAAATGACTACTAAAAAGAGATTGCAATTTGATAATTCACGTGAAATTTATATGAGTTGGATGCGCATTGCACATGATACGAAAAATATAAAAACTACATTATCATGTATATATTGCTGCATATCTTGTATGAAATGTATGAAAAGCCCATGATTTTCTTAGTTGCGAGGAAGCAGACGAGATTGCTTTCGCTTTATCAACTGGCTAAAACCAAGTCCTTTAGAATTGGTCAAGATAG